TATGGAGCAGTTCTACTCTGTAACACATGGGGTCACCATGAGTCAGAATTGATCTGAGGACCATGACTTTTTGGGTTTTCACCAAGATTTTGGTAGGAGATGGGTATTCCCTCAGTAGGAAACGTGTTTTAACGACTCATAGTTCCAAGTCACTGACCGTATGACGTATGTTAAGAAAGATCAGGCCAGTGAATGAAATTACAGGTAGATAAAAAAAAAGTCCTGGTGGTGCAATGGTTAAGCACTTGGTTGCAAACCTAAAGGTTGATGGTTCAAACCTACCTAGTGGCTCCACAGGAGAAAGGCCTGGTGATATGCTCGTGTAAAGATTACAGCATAGAAAACCCTACAGGGCACTTCTACTCTGTCGTATAGGGTCCCTGTGAGACGGAACTGACTCAATGGCACACAGTGACAACAATTTTTGAAAGTCCTTGTGTTCACAATGAGGAAAACTGGAGGGAAACACTGACAGATTAACGTAAATTATTTCTACCTGGCTCCCAAGTACAGTCAACACACACACACACGCACACACTCCTTCCATCACACGTCTTGTCTTCAAGTTCCCTGTTCATAATCTAGGTGGAGACAAGAAAGACTACTGGTAATCCAAAGAATATGACCCTCTTGTGGGTAAGTGAGAGACGCCTATATTCATGATCATATTTGATCATACCTGTAGGGTACTTTTTCCTTTCAGTCTTACCTTAGAAAGACCTTCTTGGCTGCCAGAGGTGACACATATTTCCATTTGTCCTTGACTGGGTAGATAATGGATAGTGGGAGGATTGTGCAATTGTACCTGTAACTGTCTTAGCCAGATCAACAGTTCTGGAATTCTAAAACATAAAGTGTATCTTTTAATTTAAAATCATAGTAGTAGTAGACAGGAAATAAATGGTTGCTTAATACCAGGCTCTGTATACATTCAATGTAACCTTCAAACACTTTTTGCCAGTAATAATACCCCTGTTTAGAAGATGAGGGAACAGAATCAGAGAGATTAAGAAATTCACTGAAGCCTTCTGGGCAACATGGCGCTATAGTCAGAAGCACCACGCCGTCCCTCCGCAGCAAAGATCAGAAAAACTAAGTCAAACAGAGTCACACGTCAATCCTGAAACCCTAAGCATCAAATGAAGAGATAAAGAACTCAGCCAAGCCCTGAATGGAATAAGAAACTGACCGAGAACAGAGTGCGAGGAGAGATACATACAGAAGTCCCCTATCAGCTACTGCAGCACGGATCCGCCATCTTGGACTCCTATCGGAGATGAGCGAACAGGCGGTACGAGAAAGCAGCTTCATGGAGCTTCCAGAAGGAGACCGAACAACCTGTAACCCACGATATACGCTTTCCCACCCCCCACCCTTCTTCACCCCCACTTACCCTCCTGTGCTTCCTGCAGCCACAGTCTATTGGCCAGGAAGCACAGCTTCCCCCCAGTGCCTCTTGGATTCCACCCGCCTGCACTGGCCAGCTCCCTGAGTGCCATTTGTTGGCTGTTGGTGTTGCTTTTTTCCGCTTCTTTAGATTTCCTCCTTACCTCTCCCCACCTCCCACTCTTTTCTCCCAAATACCTGGCTCCGTGCGCCATATTTGCTTCTGCCTGAAAGGCTGCGAAATACTGCTCGACTCTGAAACTGCTTCCTGGTCCAT